CGCCCCGTCGCTGTACTTGACGCCGTGGTACTCCTCGTACTTTGGCCTCAGACCGGTCAGTATGGAGGCCGTCTCGGCGACGGACGGCTCGTCCACTTTGACCGCCTGGAAGCGCCGCTCGAGCGCGGCGTCCTTCTCGATGTACTTGCGGTACTCGGCGATCGTGGTCGCGCCGATGCACTGCAGCTCGCCGCGCGCGAGTGCGGGCTTGAGCAAGTTGGCCGCGTCGATGGCCCCCTCGGCGGCGCCCGCGCCGACGAGTGTGTGGATCTCGTCGATGAAGAGCACCGTCTCGTTGGACTGCGTCACCTCCTCAATCACCGACTTGAGCCGCTCCTGCACGGGGGGAGACGGGGGGGGGGGGGGGGGGGGGGATGGGGGGGGAAATTACGGGAGAACGCGGGAGGTCGCCGACTCGAGCCGCTCCTCAAACTCGCCGCGGTACCTACGCGGGCAGATGTGGGGAGATGTGGGGAGATGTGGGGAGACATCAGCTCAAACTCTCCGCGGGACTTCGTGTCGGCGACGAGCAGGCCGAGCTCGAGCGAGAGCACGCGCATCCCGAGCAGCCGCTCCGGGGCGTCGCCGTCCACGATGCGCTGCGCGATGCCCTCGGGGATCGCAGTCTTGCCGACGCCCTGCAGGCGGGGAGGGGGGTGAGCAAGTGGCACTCGGCAGTGGGTGGCACTCGCAGCGGGTCCACGCGTCGGAGGGGCTGCACTGCCGCCGCGTCTCGCGACGTGCCATCTCGCCATGAGCCACTGCAGTGTCGGTGGGGCGGAGGTGCAGTGGGGTGGAGGTGCGAGCTGCGGGTGTGGACCGCCTCCTGCAAGCGTCTTCGGAGCGCCGCGTGAGGACAAGGGGGCCACCGAGACAATGCACGCCCGCAATGACAGCCGAGTGTGCGGGCCGCGCGCGACGCGTCACGAGTGCTAGCTTGCCATCCAAGGAGCAGGACTCCGCATGGAGGGGGGGCGGGAGTCGGCATCTGGGCCTCGAGATGTGGGGAGATGTGGGGAGATGTGGGGAGATATGCATCTAGGCGGCGTTCGGACCGGGTCTCCAATCAGCACCGGGTTCGACTTGCGGCGGCGGACGAGGATCTTCATGCAGCGGCGCACCTCGTCGGCGCGCCCGACGCACGGGTCGAGCTTCCCTTCCCGCGCCCGCTGCGTCAGGTCGACCGAGCACTGCTCGAGGGTTGAGTTGCCTCCCTTGCGCCGCTCTCCGCCCGCGCCAACCGCCTCGGCGTCGCTGCGCTTGAGCTCCTTCACCACCGCGGCGACGTCGACGCCGAGGCTGGCGAGCAGCGCGGCGGCGGAGCCGCCGTCCGACGCGCCCTCCGCGACCGCACTCAGCATCAGCCCCTTTGGCGAGACCAGCTCTGCGCCGCGCCCCTTTGCGTCATCTAGCGCCGCGCGCAGCGACCGCTCGGTGTCCGACGCAAAGGGCAGGAGCTCGTCCTTGGCGGTGGAGGCGAAGAGCTTCTCGAGGGGATTGCCCGCGCTCACGCCGCCGCCCGCCGCGCGCGCCAGCTCGTCGCGCACCGCCTTGGTCTCCACGCCCGACCGCTTGAGCGCCGCGGCGACACCATCGCGCTGCAGCGTCGCCGAGAGGAGCAGGTGGTCGGTGCCGATGGCCTCGACGCCGAGCTGGCGCGCCTCGGTCTGCGCGTCCATGATGAGGCGCATCGCGTCCTTATCGTACTGGTCGAAGAAGAGGACTGGCGGAGCAGAGCGGCGACCAGCGGCGCACCCGACGTAACGCCCGGCCGGAAGCGCAGAGGCGCTGGGAATTCTGCCGCGCGTGTGCACATGCTCGGCGCGGTATGCCAGGCGCGGCGAGATGTGAACTCCGGCCACGGCGGCGACGGTGAGGATGAACCCGTGCACGGTAACAGTGGGCATAGGAATTCCTATCGATGTATCATAAAAAAAACGAAAAAAAATCTTTTTTCTCGGCAGTCCCTTTGCTGGGCCCCCTGGGTGGGGGCCACCTCGAACCCCTAGCCAGGGTTTCGAGTGGAGGGTGCCCCGTCCCGTCGCCTATCCGTCGGGCCCCGGTACCTTCATTAGAACTGATCATTGCGCAGCGCCCGTCGGCCGCCGCTTTCTAAGCTGGACGGCAGCGCGCTGCGCTGTCGCTCTGTCGTGCACGCTCTCGTGCTTCGTTGTGACCCGCCCTGTCCCACCCGTGTGTGATCAGTGTCTACAGACGGGGGGAGTATCTTTGGCTCACGCCAGGGCGCTCGTTGCTCCTCCCACTTTTGTATTCGTTCTTAACGGGAGAGTTTGTCTTAACGGAGTCGCTTAGTTAGGCGGCTCCGGTGGTGAGCCGGTGTGTGTGCCAGTCCGCGCCAGTCCGCGATCAGGTCGTGTCCTCGCGGGCGGTGTTGCCCCAATATTCTCACTCTCATTCATTCTCAGGACACACAGAGGACACAGCGCGCGCCGCGCCCGCGAGGTCCGCCAGCGTCACCCCCGAGTGCCCGAGGCGGAGCAGCGGGCGCGTAGCTCGAGCATACACGAGCGCCGCCTCCTCGGGCGTCTCGAAGCTGCCAAGGGTGTCACCGCGCACACAGACGTTGTAGGGCCGTTTGCGCTCGCCACTGCCTTTGTTCACGCCCTTGAAGCCGCTCTCCGTTTGCGCCGAGCGCTGCAGCTGTAGTCCCTCCGCCGCCGCCGCCGACAACGCCTCACTTGCAGTGAGCGGGCGCGACGGCGCAGCGGCAGCTGCTGCACGCGTCGCCGCAGGACCCAGTTCGCGGGCGTACGCGAGCGCCGCCTCTGCAGCGGTGGCAAACTTGCCCAGCACCACGTTGCGACCATTCCTTCGTATTTGTGCCACGTACGGTCGCTGGCCATCGCCAGTCGGATACACACCCAAGTAGCCGGTCGTCGAGCCCGCGCGTGCCGAAGGCAGCAGCTGCAGATCCTCTGCTTGCAGCGCGGCTGCTATCTGCTCCGCGCTCATCGGTGGCTCGACGACAGGCTGCGGGGCTTCAGCAACTGCATGCGGTGCGTCGACGCTATTTTCTGCAGCCGCGTGAGCCAACAACAGCTCAGCTCTCGCCAACTTGGCTGCCTCTTGCTTCTTCTTGACCGCCGCCAGTGCTGCCGTCGGAGGTGGGCGCTTCTTCGGGGGCATGGTGCTGTTAGGTATCCGTCGACCCCTTGTCGTGCCAGTGCTTTGAGAGAGGTTTGTATGGGTCGTGCGCCCTGGGGGGGGGGAGGGGGAGCGGGGGGCGTACTGAGAAATCGCTCACCTGGTCCGCTCCGACTCGGACAGGAGCGCAAGCAAGATAACGCGCACTCAAGACCCAGCCCAACCAGTGAATTGACCTCCGATGCGCCGGGCACGGTCTCTCACGCGTCCCATCAGCAGCAGTAGCGTTGGCGGGCCGCTGAGCGCACGCGTCGGCTGCACGTGGCGCCGCGGCGCGGACCAGCAGGGCGGCGCTTCGCCCGCCGTGCCAGCAGGCTACATCCGCTTTCGAGACCAGCTGGCCGAAATCGGCGGAGCCCTCACCTTTCGCGTGCCGGCGCTCACGGAGGACGCGCCCATCAGGCTCCAGATCCGCAGCGGGTGCCTTGGCGACGCCGCGATGAGCGGGCGGCACGCGACGGGCGGCGTCGTCGCCTCGTCCAACCCGCAGCTGTGCGGCAATCGTAGTGGCTGGTGGGGGTTCGCCGGCGTGACGAATGCAGACGGCGCCCTCCGTGAGCGTGCGGGCTCCGGGCTGGAGAATGAGTGCGAGGCGCTGCCACCGGCGGCGGCGAGTGGAGAGAAGCTGTTGCCGTCGACAGCGAGGGCGACTAGCGCACACGCGCTGCGGACGGCGTGGGTGCTCCACGCGCTCGGCCCGACGAGCTGCCATGCGCGCGAGAGCGACGCCGCGCTGCGGCGCACCTACGCTGCGTGCTTCGACCTCGCCGACAGCCTCGGCCTGGGCTCGCTTGCCCTGCCCGCCCTCGCGTGCGGCGTGGCGGGCTTCCCCGCTACCGCGGGGGCGCGTGCCGCCTTTGACGCCGTCGAGCGGCGCGCGGCGGCGGCGGCAGGGGCCGCCGGCGGCACCCTCGCCCGCGTGGAGTTTGTGTTGCTAGACAGGCGAGTCTACTGCGAGTTTGCGGACGAGGCGTGGTCACGCTGGCAGCGATAGAGCGTAGCCCGTAGGCTCGATTGAGGGGCTGGCGTCACCACACGCTCTTACTGTGTGACCCCTGCGATCGTGCGATGCCGGTACACACGTTCATACCGGATACCGCAACCAGTGCCACCGTCCGTATACCAGATTCGGAAAATCGCACACGCGCGCCGACACGACGTCGAGCTCGAGGCCGTCGGGGGGGACGCGACCGGGAGCGCACGCGCACCCGCGGTGGTAGGTGGTACCCGCCGCGCCGCGGCCCCCGCGCGCCCGCGCAGGTGTGTGGGTGTGTTTTTGCGCCCGCGAATTTCAAACCGGCCCCATTTGTACTTTCGTGGTTTTTTGATGTCATCCGGAGCACTCGATGTCGAGCGCTCTCTTTGCCGCGCGCGCCCCTTGGGTGGGCGGCAGCCGCCGCGTGAGCTCGAACAGGCAAAGCTCCGGGTCGAGGAAGCGCGCCTCCAGAACCTCCTCCAGCCGCACTCGCGCCACGCGCCAGCCCGCCCGCTCCGCCAGCCCGCCCGCGCCAAAGAATATCTCGCGCAGCGCAGCGCAGCGGCTCGTCGAGCCGTCATCGTGCACCAGGTAGACGACCAAACCCCCGCGAGCCCCTCGTTCGGCGACGCCACCGCCGCCTCCGCCTCCGCCGCCTCCGCCTCCGCCTCCGCCTCCGCCTCCGCCTCCGCCTCCGCCTCCGCCGCCGCCGCCGCCTCCACCTCCGTCGCCGCCTCCACCTCCGTCGCCTCCGCCGCCTCCGTCGCCTCCGCCGCCTCCGCCGCCTCCTCCGCCGCACAAGCGGGCGAGGGTGTCGAAGACAGGTGCGAGCAGCGCCTCGCTGTAGAGGATGTCGCAGCCGACGATGTACCGCGGCCCGCCTGTGAGGGGAAGGGGGGGAGAGCTCTGAGATGCATCTCTGTGCTTGCACTGCGAGTCTGCGGCACTGACAGACGACGCGACCGCTCGTCGGCAGTGCGGAGACGAACCGCGCGGCGCGCGCAGAGGCGTCGTGTCGCTGGGAGGAGACGCGCGTGGTGTGGTTGGTGACGTGAGTGCGCGCTCGCTGTGTGCTCTGCAAACACTCAAAGACTGCCTTGCTCTCCGAAGAGTGCCGCCCCCCTCAGCCGAGCGGCATCCTCCTCGCTGCCGAACGAGAGGGCCGCCTGCTGCACCGCCGGCCCGCCCCGCTCCCGCACCGCCGCCGCGTTGGCCTCGAGGTGCATGCGCAGGTAGGGCGCGCCCGCAGCCCGGTCCGTCGCCACCACGCGGCTGCCGCAACACGCGGCGACCACGGACGGCAGCGCCGACCCGGCGCCGAGCTCGACCAACCGGCTGCCACACAGCTGCAGCGCCTCGGCGCGCCGCTCGAGGAAGCGCGCCATCAGCACGCCCGACGGCCACAGCACGCACTCGCCGCTGAGGGCGCGCTCCTCCCCCTCGGCGCCCGCGGCGCCTGCGGCGGCAGCGGCGCCCACGGCGGCGGCGGCGGCGCCGCCCTCGTAGAGCCGCAGCAATGGCCGCGCCCGCCCGCCATCCTCCGCCTCCACCGCCCCTGGTGAGACGGGAGGTGCGTCGAGCTGCCAGAGGCGGCACCAGAGCGACGTCTGCGCGTCGTAGGCGCCAAAATCGGCGAGGCTGTCCAGGCCCACAATCAGCGCGGCCGTCGCCGTCGAGGCGGACGAGGAGGCTGGCGACGCGGCTGGCGCGGCGGCTGGCGACGCCTCCTCCCACCACAGGACCACGGCATCGCTCCCGGCGGACACCTCGGCCAGACTCATCGAGTTGTATGCTCGCCGGCCATCGGGAGAGCCGAGCCGCAGGACGACGCCGGCAGCGCCGCATGGAGCACCGCCGCCGTACCACCGCTCCTTGAGCTGCAGGATGGTGGTGGAAGCCGGTGCCTGCACGGCTTGCGGCGCCGGCGACGAGTGCCGGTGGAGCAGGACACGGATTGAGCGCGAGTCGTTTGGCATGCTGTCACGGCAAGACTGCCGTACGAAGTCTGCGCAGGTGTGAACAGCAGCTCCTGAGCACGGCGCCGCAGGCGCCTGTTGATAGGTCCAGGTGATAGCCCTGGATGGGCAATGCATTCGCCTACCTGGGCCTCAGATCGCCCGACCGCGTCCCGGTGCTCTGCGTTCGGATTTGTGACGCCGCCGCACCGCGCCGCGGCCGGGGGCCCTCCGGAGGCCAAGGATGGCCGTGACGGACCGGGACGAGCTCTGGGAGGTAAAGTGTCAGTGTATATATTGTAGAGACCAACCATGTGCACAATATCTCTCAGTCTAGCTAAGCCTGGGAAGGCGATGCCGGGGCCGTACAGCAGCTTGATGGTGCTTCGCCTACCACTTTGACGACATTCAGCTGATGGAGCTCGACGTGCCCAGCCCGCCGCCGCCCGCGCCGCCGCCACCGCCAAACGTGCTGCTCTGGTGCGATGGCGAGGGTGGGCCAAATCCGAAGCATGGGCCCTGGGGTAGCTGGCCGTGGGCGGTCGTCTCGGAGGGCAAGACGGGAGCGATGAGCTGGGACCTCTCGTCTGCCGCCGCGGCACACGAGGGCACTTACGGCTACGAACTGCGAGTCGCGCAGACCTTCGACAAGGACTGGTACGCCATGCTCACGCTGCCGCCCTTCCTCGTCACCGACCACCAGCGCGTCTACTCGCTGACGTTTTGGGCAAAGGCGAGCGCCAACCCGAAGCCGCGGCCGCACATAGCCTTCCAGGACGAGGACAACGACTACGCATACATCGATGGCGCCTACCTCCAGCTGTCGGCCATCTGGCATGAGTACACCGTGCAGCTGGTGGTACCTCGCGCGCTGCGCGGCCACAATGTGATCACCAACCTGCTGCTCGGCTCGTACACCGGCACCTACTACTTTGACGAGTTCAAAGTCTCCAATGCCGAGCACGTGCAGCCGCCGCCGCTGCCGCCGAGTCCGCCCCCCTCACCGCCGCCCAACGTGCTGCTCCGCTTTGACGCCGAGGCCTACGAGATTGGCGCGGTTAACTCGCAGGCGTGGGCCGAGGGCAAGATGCACGTGGTGCCTCAGTCCCAGCTGGCGCGGCACGCGGGCGAGTACGGGCTACTCATCGAGGTGGAGCGCCCGTTCGAGGTCGACTGGCACGCGCAGGTCTCTTTCCGCCCATTCTCGCCCCCGGACGTGCACCACGGCTTCGTGCTGTCCTTTTGGGCGCGCGCCTCCACCGAGGGCGGCGCGGCGGGCGGCGCGCCCAAACTCGTCTTCCACGACGCGGACGACTCGTACGTGACGCTCAAGAAGGCGGTCGTCCCGCTCACGGAGGACTGGAGCATGTTCCAGGTGGACCTTGCGCTACCGCCGCATCGCGCGGGTCACCGCGTCGTCGTCGCCTTCTGGGTGGGTGAGGCGCGTGGCACGTACTGCGTCGATGACGTCGAGGTCACGATGACGCTCCCCTTCGAGCCTCCACCCCCCTCGCCGCCCGGCAGCCGCCGCCCGCCGTCGCCGGCGCCGTCGCCGGCGCCTGGGGTGCTGCAGCTGCTCCTCTTCGAGGCGGGCGACGAGGACGTGTCCTCCGAGACCCTCGCGCCCAATGGCACGTGGGCGGTGTCCATCCCCGACGCGCGCGCGGCGCACGAGGGCGCGAAAGGGCTGTACGTCGAGGTGACCCGGCCGTGGGGAGTGGCGCAGCTGGCGCAGCTGCTGCTGCCGCGGTACGTGCCTCACGCGGACCGCGAGACGCTGCTCCACATCGCCTTCTACGCAAAGGTGGAGAAGCTGCGCGCCACTGACCCCGACCCGAGCGTGACGGTCGCCTTTGTGGACCTGCACCAGAACGACGCGCTCATCGCGATCGAGGAGGTGCCGCTCACCTTTGACTGGCAGCTGCACTACGTCGTGATCGACCTCAAGCGCGAGCACGTTGGCCACTCCATCCGTCCCTACCTGTACCTCGGCCGCCACGCGGGCATCTACGCCTTTGACGAGATTGAGTACAAGGAGATCCCCATCGAGGACGGCATGGAGTGGATACAGTCGGCGCCCGAGCGGATTCAGGCGCACCGCATGGCCAGCTTTGAGCTGAGCTTCCTCGACCGCGACGGCTGGCCGATCGACTACGGCGCCGCGTCGGTGCGCCTCGTGCGGCACGACTTCCCCTTCGGCGTCTCGCTCCAGACGCGGCGCGAGGCGGGCTTGTCGTCGCGCGACCATCAGTGGCTCCTCCGCGCGGCGGCGGCTCACTTTTGGACGGGCACCCTACAGACGCAGCTCCAGTGGTCGCACTACGAGCCCGCGCCCGGCCAGGTGCAGGACGCGCGCGCGGCCACGGAGGAGCTGCTGCGGTGGGCCGCCGAGAACCGCTGGCTGCCGCTGAGCGCCTCGCTCTTTGACGGCGGCCACAGCGATGCGGGCCACTGGTCCAATAATGTTGCCTGCAAGGAGCTCACCGCCCACCTGCACGAGCGGGTCTTGCGCGACCTGCGATCGTTTGGCGGCGCCTTTGGCCGGTACGAGGTGTGGAAGGATTCGCTCCGGTGGCGCGATTGGGTAGAGCGGTGCGGTGAGAGCCTCATGCACTCGGCGTACTCGTGGGCGGCGCAGGCGGCTCCTCAGGCCGAGCTCTGCACCTCGGAGAGTGGCATCCTCTCCTCGCTCACGCTGACGCCCGCCGAGGCGTACCACAACTCGCTCTGGGACTTGCGCGCGCGCGGCGTCCCGGTGCAGGCCATCGGCGTGCAGGCGCACTTTGACGGGGAAGTGGACGCGTCCACTGTCAAGCACCGCCTCGACGTGCTCCGCGAGCTGCGCATGCCCGTCTACATCACGGAGCTCACCATCTCGGGCCTCGACCCGGCGCAGCAAGCGTATGAGCTCGAGAAGTTCCTGCGCATCGCCTTCTCGCACGAAGCAGTGGCCGGCATCACTCTCGGACAGCTGTGGGACGACCCGAGGACAACGGCAGCAGGCGCCAACGGGCCGGGGCTCTACACGGCGGGGAAGCAGCCCAAGCCGGGGGCGGAACGGGTGGACAGCCTGTGGCGGGGGGAGTGGCATACCGAGGTGACGCACGAGATGACGTCGCGCGGCCGCGAGGCCGGCTTGCTGCCGCTGGAGGCCGCTGTCCCTAGTACCTGCGTCTACGAGGGCTGCGGCACGTCCACGACACGTCCGCGACGTGTCCCATAGGCGTTCTACGGCACGTACGCGTACGAGCTGCGGCACGGCGAGCAGCTCTGCGCGGGTGAGGTGGAGCTGCGCCGCGAGGCGACCGTCCAGCCCACTCGGTGGCAGCCGCACCCGCCTAGAGCGACGCTGGTGACGGTGCAGTGCGACTGGAAGGGGCACTGGCGGTACCCGATCTGGGCGACGCCAGCGCTGATCGCCTCCGCGTCGGTGGGGTGCCTCTTTGCTTGCTACCGCAAGCGGGCGGAGCTGACCGCAAAGACGCCGGCGCGCGCGAGGCCGGGCCTCGGCGGGCGAAAGAGCGAGACGAGGAGACAGCACCAGCCGCTGCGAACGGTGGAGCCGGTGGATGAGGTCAGCATCTGACGAGCCGAGACTCTGAGATACAGGCTCGGAGAAACAAGTGGTGTGCGCGCCGCCTCAGTCACAGAACACACAAGACATATGTTTCATTTTAAAGCCGTCGATCCTTACTTTGGCATCGGAGATCATGTAAACGTGTAGAGCGCGCGGCGGCTGCGAAACGCCTCGCCCCTCCCCCAGGCTCGGAGCAAGTGTTGCGCGCCGATCGACATCGGCCGTGACGGTTTGCAGGGCATGCCCCCCCCCCCCCCCCCGCCCCCGCCCGCCCCCCAACGCCCCTTCCAGGCCGCTTCCCAAAGCGCCGACGCGGCCGCGGCCGGC